TATATATATAATATAAAGTGGACCTTTTCTCATTTCCCTCAGCTGCTCTAAAGGCCGATGCTTTTATTTTTCAGTGTGATGAACGTAATGTGTGGGGTGTGTGTGTTGTACACAAATGATAGTGTTAGCAGCTAGCTGTAGCGTGTTTCCCGTAGGAATATCATAATTTGTCAGCTAAAAATGGTGTAAAGCTTTGYAAAGCAGATTTTGCATTAATTGCTAATAAAATGTAAACATTGGTCTCATTTTAAAGGCTTTGCTTGTTTTGCACTGACACACTAGCAGCTAGCTTTAGCACTGACAATCTAACAGCTTGATCTAGAGATAAACAACTAAATAATATTTAAGACCAGAACTTTGGAGATAAATGTTAACATGGGAGTAAACTATCCTATAGTTGAGCTTATTGTGATCAGACTATTAAATTGTAGAGTTCAAAGTGTAATGTCAGCAGGGCTGTGGAAAAGAAAACAAAAACATGATTTTCTTGATGTATATCCTCATTGATTCTTTGTAAGTTCATTCTTCAATAAAAAGAAATAGAACTACAAATTTAAACATGACTAAACAGATTTTTTTTTGTCAGAGGATGAGGTGATTTCTAACCTCACGCTGCCCTCTTGTGGTGGAGAAGATGTACTGCAGCTCAGAATTACCTTTGAAATCAAGCAGACAGGAGGCATGATGGTACCTTAATCTCATTTTCTTAATTAAAAAAAATGTACATCACATAATATTTTACAATAAACACGTTTTCTTTTCTTTTTTTTCATTAAACGCTGTAGTTTCTTTTTCTTCGCTGTACATTAAAAACATTTTGGATACAAATTCTTCTGAGAAAAAAAAGAAGAAAGAGGCCATTATAGCTGCTGTCAGTGACAGATGACTTTGTAAGGACTGCAGTGTCTCCTACAAATAACTGACCACGTCCTCCTGATTGCCGTCCTAATTGTCTGAGTCGCTCACAGCGTCAGATTAGTTTTTACACCCTCCAGACAATTAGCGTGTGATTTGTCCAAAGTGATGCAGGAGCCCTGGAGATTTATTATAGCGCGGAGTCGAAGTGCATCACTCAGATGTTGGAATGCTTCTTTTTTTTGGGAAAACACTTCAGTAAAACACTGACACACAGTTTGGACGGACAGATTTAGTAAAACAGAGGACAGCAGACCAAACAACCACTGTTTCTGACTAAATCCCTGTTTTTATTTCCTCATTCATCACTTCCAACCAGACCAACTCCTCAGGTTTCCAGTCCTTCCATCGAAAAGCAGAGGTTTGTGCAGAAACCTTATTTAATTAAAAATACACAGTTCACATCTTTTCATGTGAGGTTCTGTGGTAAGGTTAGGAACAGTAAATATCTTACCTGTTGTGGATAAGATAGCTTTAAACTTTCATTTTATTTTAACATTACACGGCTTTTCCAACAGAAATAATGTGATACTGCTGCTGAAAGTGCTACAGCTAACCGCTACTGTTATTGTGAGTAATTTTGTGACACTAAAAAGGTGGTGTAAGGTTTATAAAATAATTAGCTTTCAGCAAATTTTGCAAAGCAGAGCTGCACTATGTATCATTATTGTGATATAAATATCACAAAATATTTCAATAAATCACATATATATATGTGTGTGTGTGTGTGTGTGTGT